TGTTTAATAGTGGGAATAGCCTTCAAGCAACAAGCATAATTTCCAAGAAAATCTCAGTGGCAAATTATAAAAAGCATGGTATTCTAGAAGTGACAATTGGAGGGCAATGCATTATTGAAGTAATTCTGGAATTAAACTTGGGTTAGAATTCTGTATGTCATGTAGTACTGTTACTGAGCATCTATTGAAAATCACTTGGGGCTCTTGGGTGGCTCAGTCGGTTAAGGGTCCGACTTTAGCTCAAGTCATGATCTTACAGTTTGTGAGTTCAAGCCCCATGCCGGGCTCTGTGCTAACAGTTCAGAGCCTGGAACCTGCTTCAGATTCTGTCTCCCTCTTTCTCTCTCTGCCCCTCCCCCACTCATGCACATGTGCTTGCACACACTCTCAAAAAAAAAACATTAGTTTTAAAAAGATCACTTAAGTTTTCTGGATTTACTATGTTCCTTTAGTGATGGAGGATTATCTGTGTTGCTACTTTCCTTCCTTCCTTTAAGGAGTGTGTGCGTAAATGACAGTTTTTTGTTCCTTTCCTCTGGTGCTCATTATTTAAGTGGTGAGAGTATGATGGGAAGTAATGATTGGAATGAGAATCATAACCCAGTTTTGAGATCATCTTACTTAGGAAGTAGAAGTAAAAAAAAGATCAAGTTCACAAAATCCAAAAATTCTTTAATGAGTAAGCTTAACACCCAGCAACTTTAAAGACAGCAACTCACACACTGGCCAAAGGTTAAAAACAGTATAGAACAGAAATAGTGCTATCTGACAAAGTGAAAGACCAGATCTGTTTTTCTTTCTCTGGCATTTGTCTTGCAATTACCGGATTTGAGAGTGGTCATTAGGAAGTGAAGTAGTATTTAATACCAATGAGATGTAGACTTAGGAAAGACCAATGGTAGGTGATGTCTTTATAATGTTCCATGGGCTTTTCAGTTAGTTGTTTCTACTTAAATAAAAGGAAAGAGAGAAAGAACCAGGTTACCCCCAAACAATCCCATAAAAGAGGTTAAAAAAACACTTAAGAAGGAAAAAGAGGGAAGGGAAGCTTCCTGGGCATGACACCATTTGCGAGGTCACAACGAACACCCCAGCGAAGGGCAGATCTTTTCTTCTCAGTTGGCACTAGGTAATTGTTTGGAACATATATGTGCTGAGGCTTGGACTGGGGTTCTGTTCGAGAAAGCATCTGCTCTCGGACACCCCAGCGTAATTCCTTTCTATTATCTTCACCAGGTAACCTTATTGAGTCCCAGTCTCGTTTGTACTCAAAGTATCGGGCTACGCGGTCTACCTTGCCCCGGTTTCGGCTCAACTGGTCCAGCCTTGGGAGAATAAAGGACTTTGGTCGACTGGCAACAATCAGGTCTTGTTCATAAGCTGGAGAGGCCATTCCTTCTCTTCGTAGATAGCAAATGAGCTCATCTTGAGAAATTCCTTGGTATTCATGTGGTAAATTAAATTTTTGTGAAATGTCAGCTGGAGATTCCCTGTCTTCCTGGAACTGCAGACTCATCAGCTTTTGTCTTAAGTCCCAGAGATCCATATCACTTTCTGTACCAGACTCCGATTCACTGATAATTGACTCATCTGTCACTAAGACTTCCCCTCCTGGCTTCTTCCGCAACACCTTTCTCTTCATCACTGGCTTTCGGAGTCTTTGAGAGGCCTCTGAGACTGTTTCTGAAGTGGCATTACTTTCTACGTGTGAGTACTGCAGTTGCACAGGGAGAGGCTGCTTTCCTGGAATTATTGAGGCTTTACTGTAGGGATCATATTGCATAGACTGGGCATCTCTCCTGACATCTCCCTCACCCTGCCTTGCACAGATATGGGTAAAAGCTGTAGTGGCTGCCAACATTCTTTCTTCTGGATCCATATTGGCCCATTTTTGTCCACTGGGTCCCATGAGTTCCTCCATTGCTTCCCCTCCACTGTAGGACCTTCTGGAAGAAAAAATACTGATCAGTTTTCTGATAATTCCCAGCTCATTAACTGTTCATTCCCTTCTTGTGTATTATTTTATTGTAGTCAAATGGAGAAAGAATGGCTAAGGCAATCATAAATGTAATAGTTCTGTAATAAAATACAGATTTTAGAATAGGGTAGTGTGGTAGTGGTTTGGAGGGGCATTAACTCAGCTCCAGAAAATCTACCAGCTGCTTTCATTTCCACTCTCTTGTTTGCTTCCACTTTCTAATGCCTGGTAGTTCTGCTACCTGTAGTAGCTCCTAGGACAGTACAGGTGAGGCAGAAAAAGAGCTTGAGACATAATGCTTAACATATATTATGCAACTTACACTGAGGAGCACTTTGTGTATCTAGCATTGTTCTATGTGCTTAACATTTACTAATTCATGGAATCCTGTGAGCTAACTGGTACTCTTATTACCAGTTTTCCACAGATGAATAACATGAGGCATAAAGAACTAGTCCAAGGTTACACAGCTTGTAAGTGATGGAGTTGGAAGTCTAACTCAGGCAGTCTGGCTTCAGTCCTTGCTTTTACCGATGAGAGTGATTTAATCCAAAACCATCACAAAGCAGTGATATGCACATAAACACTCGTATGCTTAAGTGATTTTAATGTGTCATTAGTTGCCAAGCTAAATCTGTTCATCTCAGTACCCTGTCACTGAACTAACTTTTAAACCCCAATCAACCAGCCAAATGCCCAATGCTAGTTTCTGGACTGGATCTAGGACAGGTAGCTACTGCCCACACTATTTCCCTGTATCCCTACAATTTTTCTTTCTTTCTAATAAGGACTTTTATGCCCTACAATTTTTCTTTTTAAATTAAATTGAAAAACTAATACATGCACATGGGAATTTTTTAAATTAAAATACAGTTGGCATACAATATTCATTAGCTTCAGTTGTACATTTGACAAGTTTATAGGTTATGCTAAGCTCACTACAAGTATAGCTACTGTCTGTCACCATGACATGTTATTACAATACTATATATACAATAATGACTAGATTTCCTATGCTGTACTGCACATGGTCATTTTAAATAAGGATTCCCCACTTCCCCCACCAAGTCTTACTCTCAAAAGGTAGTTTCTTACACTTTCTCTAGTAATCTTCCATATTCATATGTACATTTTTATACCATAAAGGAGCATATTATACAACTCTTCTGAATCTTTTTTTTTTTTTTTTTAACATTTATTTATTTTTGAGACAGAATGAGACAGAGCATGAGGGGGGGAGGTGCAAAGAGAGAGGGAGGACACAGAATCCGAAGCAGGCTCCAGGCTCTGAGCTGTCAGCACAGAGCCTGATGCGGGGCTTGAACCCAAGAATCATGAGATCATGACCTGAGCCAAAGTCAGACGCTTAACCAGCTGAGCCACCCAGGCATCCCGCAACTCCCCTGAATCTTAAAGATGGTCTTGGTGATCCAGCGAGATCAGCACACATGGACTTCATTTTGTTTAAAGTTGTACAGAATTCTGACATATGGATGTGCCCTAATCGTTTCAGCCCCTGATTTAATTTAGGTTACAGTCTTGTTAAAAATGAATGTTCCAAGTATCTTTCAAGTTTTTACATACTTGTGCAAGCCCACGTGTATGTAAAATTTCTAGAAATGGAGTAGGTGGGTCAAAATTTGATGGATGTTGTCAACTGCCCTGTGAAGAGGCTGTACTGACAGCATCTTCCAGAGCTTGCTTCTCCATTCCCTCTCCAAAGTGGTGTACTGTCAAACCTCCTCTGCAGTCAGCTGGATGAAAAATAGTTCTCCTGTAAATGGTATTTACATTGAGTAGAACTAAACGACTTTTCATACACTTTTATCAGCTGTTTTTCTCTTTTTGTATGAAATGCTTTTCCTTTCCCATTTATCTCTCTGGTTGTTGGACTTTCTCTTATTGATCCTTAAATTAAAACAGATGTATATATTTTCTGGGCTTCTATAGTATCTTACATAGAAACGCCTTTCACATTCCAAGACTATAAAAGAAAAGTTTTCTTCTAGTATTTGTTATAGTTTCATTTTTTTTGTATTTAAACTTTTAACATATCATAGATATAGAAACTCTCAAAGGCCAGAAACTAAATGAGCTACCCAGGTAACATAGCCTTAGAACACATTTGGTGACAATCCATATAAAGTGACCACCAGTCATGGACTGTCTAGCACTGTCCCAATTTTAAGGATGTAGTATATTCAACGCTAGAATTTTGAAATATGTCAGGAATTTCAACATGTTAATTACATTTTCCAGATTGACTCTTCAATAGCTAGAGGTATAGAACAGAAATTCAACTTAAAAAAAGATCATGATGCTTAATTACCTTCTCTCTGCCATCAAAACCACTTAAGAGTGGGAAACCCTTGACTTCAGGCTCTCCTTGCAATATGAAGTACAATCATTGACAAGTTTCGTCAGTCAGGCTAGCTTCTGCCGTACCACCTTTAAGACAGAACTGAGTGTTAGAGGACAGAATATACAAGCCACTCGTTTTATATGAAATACTGGAAAGCAGTGGAAACTGAGTAGACATATATATTCCATATGAACAGATTTTAAGATTAGAAAGATTAGACAAGTGTAATGAGAAGTCAAAAGGAAATGTTTTAAGGAAAAGTATCAAAAACATGATTATCATCAAAAAAATCATCACAGCTAATGAAGCAGAGAGAAATGGGATCTACAAATATTTTCCCTAAATTCTGACTAAACTTTAACAATGCCATTTCTTGATGCTCCTTTCCTTTTCCCCTGTGAACTGGCCAGACAGGATAGAAAAGAACAGTATCTATGGATGATCAACCCAGAACAATTAAGCTAACGCTTGTCTCCCTGGGCAGAAGCAAAATATATCCTTTAGGCATTAAATTAAATCTTAGGTACTATTTGCAGATGATGGAATGATATGGACATCACCAAAGTAATCCGCATTGAAACTGTTGTATCCTTTTACTCTTTTTTCAGGTAGAGTGGACCTATATGATTTCTTTATCCCTGGGGTTGGTTGTCTTTTATCATGGCTGAAAGTGACATAGACAGAACCCAAACTGTCAAACTCCTAAAAAGAGTACAGGAACTGGAGCAGGAGGTACAGAGACTTAAAAAAGAACAGGCCAACAACAAAGACTCAACCGTGAGAGAAAATTCTTCAGGAGCTAGAAAAGCTAAGCGTGCATTTGATTTCAGTGCTCATGGTCGAAGACATGTAGCTCTAAAGATAGCCTATTTGGGCTGGGGATACCAAGGCTTTGCCAGTCAGGAAAACACAAACAATACAATTGAAGAGAAACTGTTTGAGGCTCTAACCAAGACTCGACTGGTAGAAAGCAGACAGACATCCAACTATCACCGCTGTGGGCGAACAGACAAAGGAGTCAGTGCCTTTGGACAGGTAAGGGCCACCATACTGTTTCTTAAAGCAAGTGATACCCATGTATTCTAGGTGCACATACTAAGGATTCAGATTGTGTCTTTAAAACAACCATCTTCCTTTAATTCTATAGGTGATTTCTCTTGACCTTCGTTCTCACTTTCCAAAGGACAGGGCTTCAGAGGATTGTAATTTAAAAGATGAAGTCAGTGATGCTGCTAAAGAGATCCGCTATACCCACATTCTCAATCGGGTACTCCCTCCAGACATCCGTGTACTGGCCTGGGCCCCTGTGGAACCTAGCTTCAGTGCTAGGTTCAGCTGTCTTGAGCGGACTTACCGCTATTTTTTCCCTCGTGCTGATTTAGACATTGTGGCCATGAACGATGCAGCTCAGAAGTATGTTGGCACACATGATTTTAGGAACTTATGTAAAATGGATGTAGCCAATGGAGTGATCAATTTTCAGAGGACTATTCTGTCTGCTCAAGTACAGCTAGTGGGCCAGAGCCTGGATAAGGAGAGATGGCAAGAACCTTTCCAGTTATGTCAGTTTGAAGTGATTGGCCAGGCATTCCTTTATCATCAAGTCCGCTGTATGATGGCTATCCTTTTTCTGATTGGCCAAGGAATGGAGAAGCCAGAGATTATTGATGAGCTGCTGAACATAGAGAAAAATCCCCAGAAACCTCAGTACAGGTACGTTAAAAACAAAAGACAATTGTTGCTGTTAGAATATTTTTAAATATGTTAAATATTTTAAATAATTAAAGGTTAACATATCTTCTCCCAACAACTGTCTAATTAACTAGGTCACTTATTTTGTCTTCTTGAAGCTTTGAATCTAACTTGGAGAATGTCATGAATATGCAGGAGGGCTATCTTTTTCTTCTCTTGTTGTTCTATCCCATTAGTAAGAAATAGGTATATGGACCAGTCCCCTTAAATAAAATAACATTCATTCCTCAATGTTTTTTCCCCTGAATTTATTTTAAGGGTATTATTATTAGGTTCTGGTGAAGTTTAAAAGTGAGCATTCAAACTATTCATATAAATCTTCCTTGGTTTGTATTATTGGGCAGTCATACTACTGTACTTTTGAATTTTTCCTTATTTTCAGTGTCTGAAATGGCAAGAAAGGTAGGAAGAATAGTTTGACTTTTGAGACTAGGCTGAGGCCAGACAGACTAACAATTCATTTCTAAAGCAGTGAAATCTAGTTTACTTCATACTATGCAAAATTAACAAGTTCATAAAAATGTTTTCAATTAGCAATAATCACACCTTGGATAAACCTCACTGGCTATGATACTGCAAAATCAACAAGTTGGGAAAAAATGTAAAAAATAATGTTATAGCATTATGGTTGAGGCCTAACCAGTTGATTCATGGTTTCTTGTGTTGTGTTTTTGTTTTTGTCTTTTAAATATAAAGTTGTTCAAGGTTAGGGATGGTGTTTTTTGCTTTCTTATCTGTTACTCAGTACTGACAAAGATTTTCCCCTCCTTTTAACCCAACTACCTCCCCCCCCATTTGTATTTGAAAAACTGTTGGACGGCTGCTGTGTATTTTCATACTGTTTCTTGTCTCTTTTTCCCTCTAGTATGGCTGTAGAATTTCCTCTAGTCTTGTATGACTGTAAGTTTGAAAATATCAAGTGGATTTATGACCGAGATGTTCAGGAGTTCAATGTTACCCACCTACAACAACTATGGGCTAATCATGCTGTGAAAACTCACATGTTGTATAGCATGCTACAAGGACTGGACTGTGTTGCAGTACCCTGTGGGACAGGTATGACAGGGGAAATCCTAAGAGACGATTATTTACCAGAACCAGTTATGTGGGGTTATGGGAGCAGATTTATGTAAAGTTTGGAGGTGATTCTACTGTGGTAAAGTATCCATGTAACGTATGACTGTATGTATTATAGGACCAGAGATGGATGGAATGATAGAATGGAGAAATGTTAAGCCCTCTGTCATAAAGCAGACCAGTGCCTTTGTAGAAGGAGTGAAAATGCGCACATATAAACCACTAATGGATCGTCCTAAATGCCAAGGATTAGAATCCCGGATCCAGCATTTTGTACGTAGGGGACGTATCGAGCACCCACATTCATTCCTTGAGGAAGAAACAAAAGCCAAAAGGGACTGTCATGATATAATGGAGGAAGAAAATACTCTTTTGGAGAAACCAACAAAGAGAGTCTGTGTTGATACAGAAATTAAAAGCATCAGTTAACCATAAGAGAATCTAGGAGGCAACAAGCAGCTAGTGGTAGGTGGAGAGAAAGAAATACAAGAAAATATGTACTACAAGAAGTCCTAAACATTCAGATTATCAGCTCTTTGAAAAAATAAAACAAGAAACCCCCCCCAAAAAACCCCAAACCAAAAGAACATTAAGCCCTGTGAAGGAAGCTCCTACCTGAGTAAGAGAATTCAAACATTCTCATTCCTGTCCAAAAGGATTAAGAGATGGAAGAAGCAAAAAGCAATTGTGAAATGGGGTTTACATACATGTGGAAACCTGTGCCTCAAATTCATTAAAGCCTGATCCTACAAGTGTCTAACTTGTTATGCTGTTTGTTTATTTAATTTTGAGAGAGAGAGAGGAGACAGAATCTTAAGCAGGCTCCATGCTCAGCACTGGGCCCAAAGCGAGGCTTGATCTTACGACCCTGGGATCATACCTGAGCCAAAATCAAGAGTAGGATGCTCAACTGACTGAGCTACCCAGGCACCCCTGTTATTTTTGTCTTTTTAAAAAGCAAATGGGGGTGCCTGGGTGGCTCAGTCGGTTAAGTGTCTGACTTCGGCTCAGGTCACGATCTCGGGGTCAGTGAGTTCAAGCCCCGTGTCGGGCTCTGTGCTGACAGCTCAGAGCCTGGAGCCTGTTTCAGATTCTGTGTCTCCCTCTCTCTCTGACCTTCCCCCATTCATGCTCTGTCTCTGTCTCAAAAATGAATAAACGTTAAAAAAAAAAAATTAAAAAAAAAAAAAAAAGCAAATGAATGGAGCGCCTGGGTGGCTCAGTTGGTTAAGCATCCAACTTTGACTCAGGTCATGATCTTGTACTCTTGTGAATCTGAGCCCTGCATCAGGCCCTGTGCTGACAGCTCAGAGCCTGGAGGCAGCTTCGGATTCTGTGTCTCCCTCTCTCTCTGCCCCTCCCCTACTCATGCTCTTTGTCTCTCTCTCTCTTAAAAATAAACAAACATTAAAAAAATTAAAAGAAAAAAGCAAATGAAATATTCACTACTCCTCTGAATTCTCATAAAGAGCTTTGCCTGAGTGTCTTATTTTTTAAAAGAGAAATTAAAAGTAAGAAATTTAGTCCGTTAAATATTTGATACATTGGTTTATACCAGGCACAATACTACCTGAAAATGGCCTAACTCAATAAAGCACAGCATCTCTTAGAAAGCTTATCAGTCTAGTGCTGTGTGAGCCACAAATGGTCTCAGTTGCATAGTCATCATCTTCTTCACCACCTTTTACATAAGTTGCAAACATTCTTGGGGCGCCTAGGTGACTCAGTCACTTAAGCCTCCAACTCTTGGTTTTAGCTCAAGTCATGACCTCATGGTTCAGCAGTTTGAGCCCCACATCTCCACTCTGCACTGACAGCATGGAGCCTGCTTTGGATTCTCCCTCTCCCTCTCTGACCCACCCCTGCTAAAAAAAATCTATCTATCTATCTATCCATCCATCTATCTAGAGATAGAGATATATAGATAGCCTTCCTTTTTAATTTTGATGTCAGGATCCTTTTGTTTTTAGTGTAATCATTGAGTCTAGTAGAATATCCTCACTTAAACATGGAAGGACAAACCAAAGCATTTTATTTTTTTCAATTTCCTACCTTATTTCAATGTACCTCCACTGCCATTAGTTTTCGAGAAAAACCTGGAAAAGAAGAGTTTAAGAAATCACTATTTTAAAAATTCAACTTTAAAGAAACGATACATAGGACAAAAAACACTAAAACGCCATGCTTGGAAGATTCCTTAGAAGCAAAGGAGTTAGAGGATTAGGGTCTTAGATCTTAAAATTCTTTCAAGGTTAATTAAACTATACTATCAAATCTAGCAGAATAAGCATTTAGTGAAATTAAAAAAAAATTTTTTTTAACGTTTATTTATTTTTGAGACAGAGAGAGACAGAGCATGAGTGGGGGAGGGTGAGAGAGAGGGAGACACAGAATCTGAAACAGGCTCCAGGCTCTGAGCTATCAGCACAGAGCCCAACGCGGGGCTTGAACTCAGGGACCTGAACTCAGGGACCGTGAGATCATGACCTGAGCCGAAGTTGGACGCTTAACCGACTGAGCCATCCAGGCGCCCCTAGTGACATTATTTTTTTGGCAGTTACCATAGATACACTCAGGACAATCATCACAGATGAAGCAATGATGCATACTAAAATGTAACTCTGCAAAATTACTTAGGTTATCTGAGGTAATATTTATCATAAATTTCAGTTTCTGGCTCACGGTATGGAGTCAGAAGTAGGCCTTAGATCTTATTTTCTTCATTGGAAAAAATGGAAGGAATTAAATGAGATTATATACATTATATATGAAGATATAACACATAATATGTATTATATGTAACATACACATATATGGTATGTATACAAATAAAATGGTGCTTTGTGAGAGGTATTACACCATTTATTTCAATGTTCATGCAATACAAAACTACCTACTAAAAAGATAAAACAGAATAAAGCAGGGACAGAAATGGAATAGGACTCTGGGCTAGGAGGATCTCCAATACTAAAGCCCAAAGAGATTTTTTTTAATGTCATATCTACTATACTATACAGTGATTAACATGTTATTTTGTTTGCATTTAAATTAGGGCACACTCCTTTTTCTTCAATGTATGAAGAAGGGTGTTTGCAAATAGTAAAACATAAACTGTAGTAAAGCTCATAGGTAACTGTAAGTTCTTTCTTTTTAATAAAGACCTGATAATCCTTTCCCTTTACTTAGGAGGAACCTGTCACATAGAAGCTAGAGCAGCTTATATTTTGTAGATACTGATAATATTGACCAAAATACCCAGTAGTGCCTTCTCTTCAAAAATCCTAAGCAACTTGGTATCCCAGGTTTAGTAGTTCCAAGTGCAAGGATTTCAAGGGTGAAAGGGGAGGATTTTAAACTGGGATACTAGTTAGATTCTAACCATTACAAGGAGGCTACTGTAGAGTTACAACAAATTTCTCTACCTCTGGGGAGAAGTAAGCAAGTAGCTGAAAGAACCACAACTTTGGAACAAAGCAAGCAGCTTAAAGAACCACAACATTGGAGCAAAACAAGAGAAAACAAAACACCCAGCAAAAGTCAACCATAATCCAAGGGACAACTGGGGAAAATATGTGTGCAACAGGTTCAAAATCACTAATTCAAATTCCTCTTAGAAAGCTAGTAAAAGGTAAATGCACCAGAATAGGGTACCAGAATAAAGGAAAGACAGAAAATGTCCCGAAGAAATAATGACTAATACACACAGAAAATGTTTAATCTCATTAATAACGGAAATAAAGACATTAAGATGTCTTTTCAGACTGGTAAGATTTTCTCATACCCAGTGTCAGTCGGAGTGTGGAGAAATAAGCACCCTACACACTGTGTGTGTGTAGATGGGGGGATATCAATTTTTCTAGAGGGCAGCTTGGCATTATGAATCACAATTTAAACTGCACCACAATGTCTAAGCCATAATCCACTTCCAAGAATTATTCTAAGGAGATAAATTGAACAAGAATGCAAACATGTATACATACCTGTAACCACCACCATGCTATTTTATGATGAAGAAACTGGAAAAACAAGTGTCCATCGTGAGGGGACTGGTTAAATAATATATTGTACAGTAGTGCCATTGTAAGAAGTACCATGCATCCATTAAAAATGATAATGCTTTATCTATATTTGACAGTCACTTGCTCCTAAAATATTACTAAGGCATAATCTGCTTTTTAAATGACTGTGCTTGGGGCGCCTGGGTGGCGCAGTCGGTTAAGCGTCCGACTTCAGCCAGGTCACGATCTCGCGGTCCGTGAGTTCGAGCCCCGCGTCGGGCTCTGGGCTGATGGCTCAGAGCCTGGAGACTGTTTCCGATTCTGTGTCTCCCTCTCTCTCTGCCCCTGCCCCGTTCATGCTCTGTCTCTCTCTGTCCCAAAAATGAATAAACGTTGAAAAAAAAAATTTTTTTTTAAAAATAAATGACTGTGCTTTATCATATTTAAAACAATTACATAAAACCAAATATATTTTATGAATATAATTAGGTATATATACTCAAAACGCATATATCTGAAGGGAACCCAAATATGAAGTGGGTTTTTTTGATGGTTATCTGTGGCCCAGTGGAACATCTAGAATTTTCTTCCTTTTTTCCTTTATGCGTTCGTTCTTCTTGGATTTATTTCTAAAATCAACGGGACGGTATAACTTTACAATCAGAAAAAAGGTTTATTTTCATCTGGGGTAGGGCTACAGGGTTCGTTTTTCCACCCTATCCTAACTCATTAGCGAGAGAGCTGCTCGCACGGTTACACCCAGAAGTTCACAAAGGGCGCAACTACCGGCTGGGAAGACTGGTCGCTGCACAACAACAAAGGCCACCTGGTGCCCACCTGGCCTCGGGCGCGGTCGTCGCCTCGGATGCTGGTGGCCTCCGGGGAACCCGGCTCCCGCGGCGACACCACCCCCTTCCCCTGCAGCCCTCTGGGTTACGGAGGTGCCAGCCAGGGCAGCTATCGGGCTGGCAGTGGACGTGGGGCGCGCCACGGGAGCCCACTGTGACTTCAAGGGGCTCAGGCACGCCAAGGGCACAGCACGACACAGCTTACACCAACCTTGGGAAGCAGTAAACCCGGTTTTGGAAGGTATGTCGGACGTGAGACGGCGCACCAGTGAGGGTACTCCCATTCCGTGCTATCCAGACCTCGACCTCTCCGCACGGCGGGCGATCGGCCCCCGTGGGCCCGTGCGCCCCCTATTCCAGTCTCTACCCGCTTACCGGCCCCGCCGAGGTCCGCTCGCCGCACCGACTCCCGCTGCCGGCCTAGCGAAGCTCCGCAGGATTCCGTTAGCGTCCAGCAGCTCGCGCAGGCGCACGGCACACCCAACCTTCAAGCTACAGTTAACGCCTGGCCGCCGCGGTTTAAACTAGAAGAGCGAACCTGCATCCTCGGCCCCGCCCTCCAGTTCTCCTATTGGTTCTGACCATGAACGTCTTCCATGTCTACATTCTGATTGGTGCCCATTTTCTCTTGCCTTCCTCCACTGGCGGGAGGAAGCCCGGGATTTGAGGCGTGGATTCGGAAATGTGCGAACCTCCCCTTGCTCTGGCGCGTAACCCGGAACTGTCTCTGCGGCGCCTTCAGGCCTACGGGTAGAGAATGAGGGGACTCTCTAACCTCGGTTAACGACAAGTTAGCTGAGTTTTGGGAGGGACGGCCTTAACGTTCCGTTCATCTCAGTGGAACGAA